ATTTACTATTAGTTTGTATTACGTGCATTTTTATTTTTCGATTTTTCTTTGTATGACATTTAACTGTAGGAACAGTTCAAAACAGAACCATAATATTTTTTGAAAAAAAAAATGTTATCAAGTTTTGGGATGTGTTTTTTTAACATTAATTTTCTTTAGATTTATGTACCATATTTTTGTAAACCTCAATAAAGCATGATAATCCCTTATCATTAATTCGTGGTTGGTAAATTTAAGACTTTATGAAGAAACCGGGATTAGGAGAACTAAAGTCAAGATTCAAACTATTAAAATGTATCTAACATTTTTTTTCACCTATAATAAAGTGAAACAATAATATCACAGTAAAGAAAAACTATATATTTTGGAGCATATATTGTATAGCTAGTTTTTGGGTGAGTCTGTGACATAATTTTACCTTTATTGCTGTGATGACGCCCATGTGTATAATGTTCATGATGACACTAACAACATTGGACTCTTTATCCTTTCTTGTACGCTTAGAAGCCAGAGTGTATCCTGACGATCAACAAAGGCAGGATACACCCTGGATGGGACGCCAGTCCATCACAGGGCAGACACAAACACAAACATGCACACACTCACACCAGACACTGACACAAACACTCATTCACACGAGGACTAATTTTCCCGAATGCCAGTTAACCTAACAGTATTTCTTTTGACTGTGGGAGGAAACCGGAGCACCTGGAAAAAGCCCATGTGAATGCAGGGAGAACATACATATTCCATGCAGAAAACACCAGGAGCGGAATTAAACCCAGTGCCCCAGTGCTGTGTTTATACCATAATAATATTTCAATTAATACTGACATAATTCTTTCAGACTCTTAGAGAACAAAGACAGAAATATCGTGCTTATGCTTTCAGTGGTGACAAAGACCTACAGTAGCAAGTAGGTGAAGATTTTAATCTTTCATTGACACTACTTTACATGAAAGCTTGCATTGTCCACAACATTATTTTTGTTAACTGGTCTTGATTTACTATGCCATCCAGTATGTTGACTTCTGTGTGAACTTCTTTGTTGAATAGTCTGGTTTTCTTACACACTACGGTTTCATGAAGGCTTTTTGTGCCGTCTTCAAGAAAACTCGGCAGTGAAAAATCCAGTAACTAGTCCACTAATAGTCACTAAACTATCCACTAAAAAAAAAGACGAGGACTCACACCAGTAAAAAGAAGTTAATATGTAAATGGGATGTATGAAGTGTGTGGATGCAGTGGAATGTGACATCGTTCTTCCAAAAAAGCTCAATCATCTCACACCTAGTTGATGGAGGTGGGAAATGTGGTCTCGGACCTTCATTCCAGAATATGCCCTGCTTGATTAGGTTCAGATCTGATGACTGGGAAGGTCAAACATGAATAATATCAGTTTATGAAACAGAGCTTAGCAGTGATGCTCATGAAACCATTGAGTGACCACACTTGTACACACTTTTTTATGTTATCCCTACCATAAAATTAAGTAAATGGAAAGCATAATTTTCAAATTTGATTTGATAAGATTTGATTCTTCTTTGACACAAATTATATAGTATTGTCTATTGAATAGTCAGAGTACAATGGTTTGGATTTATTTTGTAAATTAATTCATTTATAAAGTTTTTCTACTAAAACCAATTCTGTTATTGTTATGCCTCAGTAAAGAAATCTGTTATTGAAGTGAAAATCGACAACAAGCTTAAATTTGTTCAGTGTCTCAGTACAGTTTAACACAATTAAATCAAAAACTTTCTTTTTGGAACACTGAAAATCCTGCAAAGTCCTGTAAAATTTTTAAAGCTCTAAATTATGCCTACAGGTTCTTAATGTTTTATTAAATTGGATGCCAGGTCTTACTGTTCTATAATACAAGGGAATGTATGGTTGTGAACAGATGCTGCAACCTACTTAGAAAAAATGTAAATAGTTTTTGAAATTGATAATAGGCAGTAGGTTGATACCAAAAGTTATTTGTATGTTTTCCACTCGTCAATCAGGCTTAGGTTACCACTGTTAAATTTCTACATTTGCTACGGTATCTGGATGCACAAGGAATAGAAAGTTCCACTCAAATATTGTCATTGAAACTTTTAAATACAGTACTTGTTTACAAACTCAAGATCACATACTGTACAGCCAACCTGTAGTTCGAATGCTGTTCTTACATTTAATACAGTATACTTGATTTTAGTTACTTTCAATATTTTGTTTTACATGTGCAACTTTGACAAGGCTGCATTTGTCCTTTGTGTTCTCTGAAGGACTGTAATAAAAAACCCATTTTCTCTCTTTTTTTTTTTCCTTTTGTAAAAGCCTAATGGGTAAAGAATTTTAAGAAGAAAAGATCAAATAGTAGGTTTCCCCCCTAAAAAAGACAATTAACTTGAAGTACACTCTCAGTTTGTTCTTCTGGTGAAGAGTCCTTTCTGCCAATTTTCCACTTCATTCACACTCCCCTAGCTATTATATTCGTATGGCATTTTCGAGAAAGATATGCCTTAGTACTTCATTTACACCTGTCAGTATCTCAAGCCAGCTCCATACAAACTATGTTTTTTATTGGTAGTTGAAAGTCTTGTTCAAAGCAAAACTTAATGCTTTATTGCAGTTGCTTATTTGTTCTGAATGCTCTGCTTTTTTATTATACACTAATCAAGTGTATCTTCTCTGCAGATCTATTTGGTGTCAAGTAAGGACAGTTGACTTTTTTTCTTAAAACCTACTGCAGACTGAATGTTCCATCTATTTAAATGATGGTGTTTCCATCATTATCTGGCTTTTGAAAGTCCACTGTCCTAACTGCAGTCTGTATTTATTTCTGGTTCATTCTTACCTTTGTATCCACAGTGGACCTACCTCATGGTTTTATAGTAAAATTATGTCATGGCTGAGCTGTGCCAGGGATTCTATCAAATTTAATAACCTTTTCAGTGGCAGTAATGCTGATTACTGCCAAGTTAGCTAATCAAATAATTGCCATTATAGTAAATGAGACAGACAAGTAAAACTGATCTTTGGAAGAAAATGGCACCTTTGTAATGGAATTAAAGCTCTATTGTAGATTCTTTGCAATTCAAAAATATTACATTTGACTGCAACAAAGTAACTTCACATTAAAACAAATTATAGTCTTAAAAATATTTAATTGCTTCAACAAGTGAAAATTTAATTATCTATATACATTACCATTTTCTCAAAGAAACTTTTCATGTTTTAATGTTTAAAAATAGAACACAATTAAATATTTATATAACTATAGAACATCCATTCCAATCTTCAACTTTTTAGCAATTCATATTTTCATCTATTTAATTTTTGATGGTCTAACACAGTGGTTCTCAAACTTTTTGGACCAAGAACCACCCCTAATCCAACCAAAGCATCCAAGTACCACCTACAAGTCATCATCTCATAGGAACCCCAGAAATTCTCAATGACCAACATGTGCGCGCGTGCACACACACTCACACATACATTCTGTATAATAAATATTATAATAATA